GTAACATTTCTCAGACGGATTCAATTATTTTTAAAAATTGTAATAATACCTATTTTGTTTTTTAAATTCAATTCTCAAAAGTTTTGATGACATGTTTTATAAGAATTCAATTATTTTTAAAAATTGTAATAATACCTATTTTGTTTTTTAAATTCAATTCTCAAAAGTTTTGATGACATGTTTTATAAGAATTCAATTATTTTTATAAATAATAAATCTCTTCGCATAAAATCAGTTATTTTTAGTGCAATTTTTATAAAATATCTAGAAAAATTTTAGTTAGTTTCAAGAATTGTAATAAAATTTTGGGTAGAATTCAATTATTAAAAAAAAAAAATTTTAATAAAATTCAATACCTACTTAAAATTTTAATTCCAACTGTTAGTAAAAACTATTACTTTATAGAATATTAAAAAAAAAAATCTTTGCGAAATTCAATTATTTAAAAAAAAACTTAATTTAAATTATTTTTAAAACTACATTATTTTCAAACAACATAAAGAATTTCTTTAAAAGAATTTAATTATTCGACAACTCTATTAACTAACTTTCAAAAAATTTATTTGCAATTTAAAAAAATAGGTTTGCTTTAAATTTTAATTCAATTTTTTAAAAATAATTCAATTTTTTTTGGGAAGAATTTAATGAAAAAGTATTATTCAATTGTGATTTCATAAAATTATATTGAAAATAAATGAATATTTAACAGAATTTTATTAAAAACTTCTAAAATAATTTTAATTGAATTTTTAAAAAATTTTAAAGTAATTAAAGTTTGGTTAAATAGAAAACTTTAAAAATAAGTTTTTTTTATAATTTTAATTAATTTTTTTTTTTAAAATTAATTTCTTGTAAATAATTTGTTAATTTTCAAAATTTTTGTAAAAATTTTAAATAAAATTAAAGTTTCGTTGGAAATTATATTTAAAACTTAAAAAATTACGTTTACTTTAAAAATTTTAATTCATTTTCTTGGATTTGATTACATTTTCTATTTTTGTAAATATTTTTATAAATTGAACATAATTTATTGAAATTAATTAATTAAGAATTTAAACGAAATTTTTTAAAATATTTGAGTTACAATATTATATTTTACATTTGTATTCGAAAATTGTATTCGACAATTATATTGCATAATTTGTCCATCATTCAGGGTATATAGTCTAACACTGAATATCTATTAAATAAACTGCGATGCTAAAATTGGAAAGCCAATATTAAGAATAGTTTTGAAAAAACGGAATTCGAATTTATTGCAAGCGTATTGCACCAATAATTTGGCAATCGTTCAAGTAGATATTCAATGTAATATTTCCAGGCAGCTGACAGATATAATTTCGTTAGAATTTGTTTCCTCTCGATAACGAGATTTAAATTGTTAATGACATCAAGCCGATTATTTCTGTATTTTGTAATTCTTAATTCATAATCTTTCTGCGGATTACGTGTAAAGTGATTTTTTTCTCCAAATTTTGATTTTGAAAATTGCAAAGAAAAAAAATCTTCATCAACATTGTAAAACGGTTCCATAGAAGTTTATTCCGTAAGTGTACAAAAATTTTGGACTAGAACACCAGAAATTTTTATGTATTTGTTCTAGATCAGTTTAGTAAACAAAAGCAGAGAAAAATTTACTGAAACTATTGGTAACAAAATTGTATATAACTTGTTCTTTTCTTTTGTGTTTTAGAAATACAACAGAATTGTTTGGTGAAAATGGATTAATTTCCACTGATGTGCGACTCATTGGAAACGGAATAATTTTTGTTTGTAATGACGATAAATAAATTATTCCTTCCTTTGAACGCTGATGGCGTTTGGCGGATGTACCGGAATTGGTTTCGGCATTTTCGTGTCTTCTCCTGGTAACGTCGAACGATGGTGGTTGCTGGTTGCATTAATTAAGCGCAGATGCCGATTCCTTGTCACCCGCCATTTGCCATTCGCGTTCACGTTTGTGTTTCGCCCCCGGTAGGACAGGACCTAATTCATCGTGTGTTCGTTGAACATATATCTCCTCTTTGTATAAGTGACCGCATATAGCAATATGTTGCGTATGTGAATTCAGCCAGGAAAGTCCGGCCAGTCCGGCCACGTACTCGAACCAATTGGTTTCGTGCCTACGTCGCAAAACAGGTTATGCACTTAACGTGGGATAACCGTCAGGGACAGGTGTCCTGAACGACGCGACCGACGCAGAGACGATTTTCAATTTCAACCATCGATGAGAATTGAGAAAGCGAAAGGTTAGAAAGAGTTTGTAAAAGGATATTGAATTACAAGGGATTATCTTTATTCACTCGCATCGAGGGATGTCCATTCGATGCTGACTGGACCAAATGACGACCTCTCTTTTCTACCTTGACAACTCTGACTTTTGATCAAGGTCTTCAGATAAGGATGTTTTATTATCGACAAAATGTGTTGTTGTATCATCCTAAATGCTTTTTTCTTCTTCTTCTTCTTCTTTTTTACCTGCATGGTAACGAGTTCTATAAAAAATGGTCCCTTCTAATTCTACCTCGAGAAAATTTCTTTCCTAAGCCACAATTGATTTCAATTAAAGTTAATTAACTGAAAGTTGGATCAATTGGGTTTTAGGAATAAAATTTTCTTGAAGTAGAACGAAGGAAACATTTTTGACAGAAGTTATCAATTTTTCATACACTGAGAAAAAAAACTATTGGCCCAATAACACCAAAGCTATTGAATCTTATTTCTTTGAAGCAATAATTTCTGTATTTTTTTTCGATAATTTCCACTACTTTAAATTTGCTAAGTATTTTCGGTATTTTCATCAAATTTGTCAAAAGAATTCAATTATTTGAAAAACAAATTGAAAACATTCATCCAAAATTCAATTACTTTCATAAATAATAAAATTCTTCTCAGAAATTCAATTATTTTTGAAAATTGGAATAAACTTCTTAGCAATTATTCAATTATTTTCATAAATAATAAAATTCATCGCACAATGTCAATTATTTTTGAAAATTTTAATAAAATTCTCAGCAATTATTTAAATATTTTCATAAATAATAAACTTCTTCTCAAAAATTCAATTATTTTTTAAAATTTTAATAAAATTCTTAGCAGTTATTCAATTATTTTCAAAAATAATAAAATTCATCGCAGGATTTCAATTATTTTGAATACAATTTTACAGAAATTGGTAAAAATGTAATTATGGTCATTTTAATAAAATTCTTGGCGAAATTCAATTATTTTAAGAAATAAAATTTTCCACAAGGATTTAATTATTTCAAATAAAATTTTCCTAATATTTATTATATTTCGAAAAAAATTAATTGTTTAAAACAATGTTTATAAAATTCTTATGAAGAATTCAATTATTTTCAAAAATAACAAAATTTTTCGCAAAAATTCAATTATTTTTAAACATTTTAATAAAAATTTACGGAATAATTCAATTATTTTCATAAATACTGAAATTCTTCTTAGAAATTCCATTATTTTTATAAATAATAAAATTCATCGCAGGATTTCAATTATTTTTAACACAATTTTACAAGAATTGCTCAAAAAATGTAACTATTCTTAAAAATTTAATTTCAATTCCTCGAAAAAATCAATTATTTAAAAAAAATGTTTTTTTAAAATTCTTTGGAAGAATTCAATTATTTACAAAAACAACAAAATTTTTCACAGAAATTCAATTCATTTGAAACATTTTAATAAAATTTTTTGCAATAATTCAATTATTTTCATAGATAATAAAATTCTTCTCAGAAATTCAATTATTTTTATAAATAATAAAATTATTCTCAGAAATTCAATTATTTTTGAAAATTTAAATAAAATTCTTAGCAATTATTCAATTATTTTGATAAATAGTAAAATTCATCGCAGGATTTCAATTATTTTTAACACAATTTTACAGGAATTGCTAAAAATGTTAAAAATTAATAAAAATTCCATTTCAATTTCTCGAAAAAGTCAATTATTTAAAAAAACGTTTTTTTAACTTCTTTAGGAGAAATTTCAATTATTTACAAATATAACAAAATTTTTTCTGAAAATTCAATTATTTTGAGTCATTTTAATAAAATTCTTTGCAAAATTCAATTATTTTCATAAATAAAGTTTTCCACAATAATTTGATTATTTCAAATAAAAATTTTCCTAATATTTATTGCATTTCAAAAAAAAAAAATTAATAATTTCAAACAATGTTTATAAAATTTCTATGAAGAATTCAATTATTTTCAAAAATAACAAAATTTTTCGCAGAAATTCAATTATTTTAAAAATATTTTAATAAAAATTTACGCAATATTGTAAATAGCAATATTCATCACAAGAATCCAATTATTTTGAAAAGTAATAAATTTTTTCTTGGAAATTCAATTATTTTTAAAAATTCTAAGAAAATCGTTCGCAAGAATTCAATTATTTTCGTAAATAATAAAATGCTTTTTAGAAATTCAATTATTTAAAAAAAATTTTAATAAAATACCACACATAGATTGTATTATTGCAAAAAAATTGTAATAGAATTCTTTGTAAAATTTAATTATTTGTAAAAACTTTTCGCAATTCAACGATTTTGAATATCTAATATTTTCATAAAATTTTAGATACAGAATTCAATGTGATTTAAAAATTTCTTAGAAATTCAATTATTTAAATTAGGATTTGCATAAAATTAGTAGAAAGAAATGAATCATTTTAAAATTTTTATAAAATTCTTCACTTGAATTAAATTATTTTTATAAATATTTAAATTCTTTGATGAATAATAAAATTCGTTGCAGGAATTTAATTTAATTTGCAGGATAAGAGAGAAGTAAATATTGTTGATGAAAATTAGAAAAAAGTCAGGAAAATAAAATGTGGAATGGAATTTTTGTCAGTTTTGTAAAGTGTCTATAAAACGAGTTTATAGTTTATTTTTATGAAACGACTTTTTGCTACTTTTTTAAAATTAATTATCGAATGCGAAGTCTGCAGTTTCAAAAATTTATTTCAAAATATCATTCTACACAATAATATTTTATTTATTTCATTTTTTTAGAGTTATTCTTTCTTTCTTTCTTTCTTTCAAGATAGAGAGAGAGCGAGATCTAATCGAAAAATATTGTTTTCTCATATGTGCAATAGTAATGATGACCATAATCAAATTTAGAGACACAATCTTCTGTAAATTAAAAAAAGAAATTTAATTTTACAATTTATTCACTTTTTTATTCAATATGCACAAAAATGGCGCTCTTAGATATCTGACGACAGGGCGTAAAGTCATTGATATTTGCCCGACCGTATAAAAATTGGGTTCATTTTTACCCTAGGGCAAAAATGAAGGTTTGTGAATGTCACTGACTGACTTTTACTTCCTGTAGTCTGCCATCTGAAATCGACACTTTTGTAAATTTGAATTAAAAAAATAAGCAACTCAGAAACAATTGTCTATTTTTGTTTCTTTATTTATTAATTATTTAAGTTTTTATAAAAACGATACATACTCTTCGCATTATTATAATTTTTATGATAAATTTCCGGATTCCCTTTACAAGCGTGAACGAAAACTAACTCTTTAGTTCTGAAAATTAAACTTGTTTTCGTTTTGAATATTGTACTAATACAGTGCTCTGAAATAATTTTTTTGGAATTATATTTAAAATATTTATATTATTTTGAATTTTATGCAGATTCTAGTTGAATATAAAATTTATGTAAATAAGAAAAATAACATACCTTCGGCTTCTAATCTACTTTCGTATAGTCTGTAATTATGACCATTAGGTGATGATTGACAATTATTGATTAACACAGATAACAACATTAAAAAAATAGAAATCGAAAGTTTCATGTTGAAATTTGTATTTTTAATGTTATATTGTATGGAAAATGAATATATTTAAGCTCGTTGAATTTCGTCCGCGTAATGTTAGTGAATGCGTTTAGAAATATAAGTTTCAGAACAATTTTCTTTATCGAAAATCATAAAAATTTGTACTGCAGCTGCAAACTATTATTTTTATTACTTGATAGTTTTTTCACGATCTTATGTTTTTTGATAGCTGTCAAGGTTCTCATTATTATTATTATTATTATTATTATTATTATTATTATTATTATTATTATTATTATTATTATTATTATTATTATTCTCCACAATTTTTAACTACAATTATTTATTTTTAATAATTTTTTGAAAAAGTCCTTTCAGAATTTTCCAATCTATTTGTTTACAATTCAATTTTATAAAATTTCAATTATTCGTAAATTTTCCAATTAAATATTATAGAAAATAAAAACTTGAAATATTTCTCAAGAATTCAATTATTTTAATTATACAATTTGCATAAAAATAAGTCGAAAGAAATCAATTATTTAGAAAGTTTTATAAAATTCTTCTCAAGCAAATTAATTTTTTCTCTCACAAGCGGTATTCTTGAAATTTAATTTTTCTTTAATTCAATTTTCTTAATTCAAATTTCTTAATTCAAATTTCTTAATTCAATTTTAAAAGAGTTGCCTTTACAATTTTTCTTCGCAATAATTCAATTATTTTCATAAATAATCAAATTTTTTACAGAGATTCAATTATTTTCATAAATAATAAAAAAATGTATAGATTTACAATTATTTTCATAAATAATAAAACTCATCGCAAAATTTCAATTATTTTTAATACAATTTTAATGGAATTTCTCGAAAAATCTATAATTATTAAAAATTTTATTAAAATTCATCAAAGAAATTCAATTATTTTCAAAAGTAATAAATTTCTTCGCAGAAATTCAATTATGGTCAAAAGTTTAAAAAATTTATCGTCAAAATTTCAATTATCCTTATAAATATTAAAATTTTTCTCCAAAATTCAATTATTTTCAAAAATTTTAATGAAATTCTTTTTAACAAATTCAATTTTTTTCAAAAATTCTCCTCCAGTCAATGATTTTCAATATCTACTATTTTAATAAAATTTTCCAAAAGAAATGAATTATTTTAAAATTTTTTTATAAATTTCTTCGCAATAATTCTATTATTTTCAAAAATATTCAATTTATGTTTACAGAGATTCAATTATTTTTATAAATATGCAATACAATTTTTTACAGGGATTCAATTATTATTTTCATAGATGATAAAACTCATTGCAGAATTTCAATTATTTTTGATACAATTTTAATCGAATTCCTCGAAGAATGTAATTATTCTTAAAATTTTATTAAAATTCCTCAAAATAATGCAATTATTTAAAAATTTTTTAATAAAATTCTTTATGAGAATTCAATTTTGAGAAACATTCAATTATTCAATTAATTATTTATTTTTGTATTAAAAATAATTAGGTATTTTAAATGAAATATTATTAAAAAATTCGTCTCAAGAATTCAATTATTTTCAAAAGTAATAAAATTCTTAGCAGAAATTCAATTATGGTCAAAAGTTTAAAAAAATTTATAGTCCAAATTTCAATTATTTTTATAAATATTAAAATTTTTCTCTAAAATTCAATTATTTTCAAAAATTTTAATAAAATTCTTGGCAATATTTCAATTATTTAAAAAAATTTTAATAAAATTCTTGACAAAATTTCAATTATTTTCAAAAACTTTTCTTAATTCAATGAAATTTTTTTTGCAGTGATTCAATTATTTGTAATACATTTTTAATGTAATTTCGAAAAATGAAATTATTCTTAAAAATTTTATTGAAATTCGTCAAAAGAATTTTAATGACCTATTTAAAAATTTGTTGATAAAATTCTTTAAATGAGAGTTGAATTTTAAAAAACATTCAATTCTTCAAACAATTTTTTTTTGTATTTAAATAATATTGAATTGTCGTAAAATTTTCTAATTATAATTGATTCAAATATGAATTTCAGTTAAAACTTTAGATAATAATTGAGTTTTGAAAAGGATTCAAATTATAATCCTTTGAATTTTTGAATTTATTTTTCATACATTTAACTTAAAATTGTGTATAGATTTAATTTTTTTTTAAAAGTTGAATTGAATTTTTTTGAAGTTATTTCAAGTTTTTATTTTCTAATATATATTTGATTGAAGAATTTCCAAATACCTGAATAATCGATGAAATTTCACGTAAAATTAAATTGTAAACAAAAGGATTTGAAAATGTTGAAAGAAATTTTTCAGAAATTATTAATAATAATTAATTTACGTTTTATAAAGAAGAATTTTAATTTTAAATTCTGGAAAACAATAATTGAATTAAAATGATGAGAGTAATTTTGAATAAGTTACAGTAACAATACTCTTATAATAGGTATAAAATGATGATTTTATCAGTCCAACTTTTTTAATTAACATAAAACATGAAGATATCGATTGCTCCGAGTCGATGACTCGGAGTGATCGATATTTTCATGTTTTATAACATGTTTAATTTCAAAAAGGTTTGAATTAAAAATTTTGTAAAATATCAATGTAGTTTTAAAAACCTGGAAAAATTCCGTTTTTTAACCTGGAAAAGTCAGGGAATTTGAAATGAGCAAAAGCGTGGCAACCCTGGATTTGATTATTTGAAGAAATTGGAAAAAATAGGCGCCCTGAAATTAAAATTTTTTTGAGTAATCTAGGCAGGACTTTTTGAATTAGAAACATGACGTCAAGCTGAGAAAAGAATTCGTCTACTTTATAGTCGGCAAAGAAATAAGGCAAACAATGCAAAATGGAAGGAAAAAGGAAGTAATAGTTAGGCGCCTGACTGAAAATCAACCCAGACGTGCTAGGCAGAGTTTCTCTTCCTTTTTTCTTCGTTTCCTTCATTCTCCCTTTCTTCTCGGGTTGTTGCGAGTTGTGATGCTTGAATGCGATAGTTAGAAACAGTGCCAGAAGCATTGTTTGTTCAGTATATAAAACAACTCTCGAATTTTGGGTACAGCAGTTTAGTGCTTCAACAATATTAATAGAGAGAGATTACCATCTACCGCTTTTTATCTTCTTTTATTATTAAAATTAAAACCACACTTTAGGCCTCGTACTCAGTACCTATACATTGGTACTTTTTATCACTTTCTTCAGCACATACATGTATGTGGACCTAATTTAACTATTCAGCTACTATTTTTTAAAGTGAGTTACTACTGGCACTTATTTCGTTAAATATCCACTAATGGTACTATTTCTTAAACCGAGATTTTAAATATCAATTTATTTATACTGAAGATGTTAATTCCAAGACTAAAGACAAACCTATAAAAATTAGATCTTTTCCAGGTTTTTTCAAGATTTATAAAATTCCCTGACATTTCCAGGTTTTCCAGGTTTTCAACCAAAGTATGACTTTTCGGACTTTTGGGTTTTTAATCTTTAAGAGGAAGATTAATAACTATAATTGTTTTGAAATATTTGAATGTTCGAAAGAAATTTGGAAGAGGAGGAGGATGAAGAGAGCAGAAAGAGATGAGCACCTAATTTTCGAGTTCGGCTTTTTTTGAAGTATACATTTCGAATATACGTGAGTGAAGTAAGAATGTTTATGGGGGTGTAAAATGTGAGACAGGCGTCTGGACCAGTAATTAGTCATTGTTTTATGTCCGACTCCCCGCCCCCCACTTAATGGTATACTCATACCTTGGCCAAGAAGTTGTTTCACATTCATCAAGAGATATAATTCGCATGAGATACAAGGCGCATCAATCGTCATAAACCTCAAAGCCTTTCGACCGTATGTGTTTGCTACTTGTTTTAATTTCTTCGAGCAACCGTTCATATTACCTTTCTCATTTCGAAAGCCAACGCTCGAAAATTAATCGCCGACAGTCGTCACTCCTCTCGGCTATATATAAATGACGTCAGGGACAGGAGTTTTCATATTTTGATTATTATTCCGCATAATTTTTAAAAAGATAACTTTTTTATCATCTTTGTATAGCTTAAAGTAGCTTTAAGCTTTGTAGCTTAAAGTAAAAAAATGTCGATTAAAGATAATAGGAATAAAACCCAATGATGACAAATTCATTTTTTTTTTGGGTTAAAATTAAGAAGAATAAGGATAAATTCTATATATATAGTGGGAATCGAGAAAAATTAGAGACGGGGGTTTCTTAAGAAGACAACTTTCTTTTTTCACGACGAGTCCAGATCGTATCGAATGATTCCTGGATATCTTGAATGAGAGCATCAAGAACAGGTGTGTCAAAGAAGCTTTTACACCTTCTTCTTCATCATCATCTTCTACTTCTTTTTTTTTCTACCGTCGTTCTTTCCGGACTCGTCTCGAAGATTGTGGAATGTGGTGACCATTATAGTGTCTCGTCATTACCTATACCACATCTCGAGCAACACCTTTATATAGACAGCGTTCTAGTCAACAGTTTTTCGAAAAAGAAACAACGATGAAAAAGGTGTTACACACAGGTGTGACTAGTTGAATCAATGACAAGTGTGACACTACCGATTATATATCCAATTCTCCTCTATTTTCTCGATTGTTTATACAACACTTTTTTTTATTTCCCCTTTTTATTTATCTCTACTTTTTCTAGTTGTTAATTTTAGAATAAAAGTTGAATTAATTATCCAATTTGTGACTCTACACACTTTTTCTCACATTTATTTTTAAATATCTTTAAAATATATTGTAAAATTATTAGGAACATCAACTGTTCAGGGCTCGAACCAGTGAAAGTATTTTAGAATATACGGACTTTACGGACCAAAAATAAAAAATTACTGACGAATTACTAACTAAAATATAACCAGTTCAAACCAAATAAGAAAATATTTTACTTAAAACTGCAAATAAAATTTTTCATACCTATAAAACATGAATAACTATAAAACTATAATTTATTTATCAGAATTTAAATATTACTGTCAATATATTTTTAATTCAATTTCTTGAAAGAATTAAATTATTTTCAAAAATTGTAATCAAATTGTTTTTAACAATTCAATTTATTTTCAAAATAATTTTAATAAAATTCTTC